GACAGCCCAAGCAGCTACGAGCTGGCGAAGCGGACCGGCGAGGCCGTGACCCAGGCCTACGCTCGGGTCGGAGCCGCCACCCGGTGGCAGAGAGCCTCTGTCTCTATGAAGCAGTGCTGTGCTGTGCTGGCTGTGCGCCCCCCTCTGTCTTACGACGAAGAATATCAGGTCAGCAAAGAGTTCGCGGAAAAGCGTCCGGGGCTCTGATCTCCGTGTTTTTCCTCACGAGTTGATTTCGGCGAATCTTCGCCAGTGAGCGCTGAGGACTCGGGCCTCTGCCGATGATCTGGAGAAGCTGCCAAGGAGTGGCTGCCGCGATCGTAAACTCGCAGGCCGCAGGCATCTTCTTCGCGATGGTGGTCCTGACCAACTCCGTCTATCTTGGTGTCCATCTTTCCTGGAGCTCGCAGAACCCAGAGCAGACCTCTAATTCCGTGTTCCTGACCGTGCATGTCGCATATTCAGCACCTCGTCAATGTTTTGGGAGACTTTTGGCAGCTTGCACTGCGGCTTTTGAGTGAGCCCGGGAAGTTCCCGCCCAATGTGTTCAGGTTCTCTTCACGCTGGAGGCAGTGCTCCATTTTATTGCTCTCGGGCCTTCCGCCTTTATTTGCGCAGCTTGACAAACTTAAAACCACCAAAATTTGACTGATTGGCATTGGCCTTGATTTCTGGAAAATATTACACCTCGTCTTATGAGGTGTTCAAGAGCGGCTAGGATTTGGAAGGGGTGATGTTGCAGTCATGTCCCTTCTATTGTTGCTTGGCCAAGCGATGTGGCCATGTGACAGCGATATCTGGACGAGACGGAAGAATTTTTGGTTTGCATCTGAGGGCAGCAGTTGGGCCTGGAACTGGTTGGATGTCTTCGTCGTTACTTCCTCCTGGACTGTGAGTTAAAAAGAGATCTGCGCCAATGCCTTCCTAGCCCCCCCTTTGTCATGTGCTCCCACGCCATTACTCCCATGCAGGATCGAGCTGGCGGTTGATATCGTGTCCCCAGACCACGAGACTCTTGGAGCCAACAGCAACCTCCGAATCATGAGGTGCCTTGCTCGCAGGTGACAGAGCAGAAAGAAGCCTCGTTCAATATGGTTTGTCCGGATGGACGCCTTCAGGGTTGCGATGCATTCTCGGAGCAGCGAATCGGGCCGCAAGGGCCTTGCTAGTCATCAATGTGCAAGCTTGAAGGCTGCAGCTTTGGTGCGTGCTAGCGTTGGCTGCAGTAAACCTGTAGTTCAGCAGATTTCAGCGAGTAGGTGTTCTGCGTGCTTGGGTGCAAGCCTGGACCAGTGCATTGTGCAACATTCGTGGCCGGAGGTCGCACCTTGCAGCTCACATGTGCAGAAGCACTTGTTTTCTTACCTTTTTCCCCGAGAAGCCGCGCTCCAGCCGACTCCAGTCCTGAGGCTGCTTCGCCTAGGCCGGTTGGTTCGTGTCGTGCGGATCGTCCGAGTGGTGAAGCTCTTCCGGGCACTGCGGACGCCGCCTGGTGCGCTTCAGTGGCCAGTCCAAGAGCCGTTGCTGCAGCATCGTTTCTTCTGGCTGATAGTCCTGGACTGAACTGCTGTTGCCCAATGTGACAACATGTCAATATCTCCACATACCTACAGGAGGATAGCCAGATGGCCATCGCCATGGTAGTTCCCCGAAGCTTGCTGAGGCTTGTGTACTCGCTCCTGGGGACACTGAAGTCACTGTTCTGGTCCTTCTTGCTCTTGATCCTGCGCCATGTTTGCACACATCAGCGGCCACTTTAGGTGTGACCTGCTTTCATGGTGCGTCAGGATCATCTACATCTTTGGTATCCTCTTCACCGATGTTGTTCTTAACCACCTCTGGGAGGAGGCGGGGTGCAGAAGGAAAGGGAGCTGTGCGACTGTGCGACAACACATTGATCCTGGGTTGCAATCGCGGCTCCGATGCAATCCCGTCAGGGAAGAACCGCCGAAAGCGAAAATGTGCGACAATACTTCGGCACACTCTATGCATCCATCATCACCCTCTTCAGGCGCAGTTTGGGGGGGATTTCGCCACATCCCCTCACCTTCAAGAGCAGGAGCTTGTCCATTACCTTCTCATGAAAGGTCGATCTCCAATGGCATCACGTGGGAGAAAGCCGCCAACTCCCTGGAGCCCATCAGCACCTTCTGGGTCCAAGTGTTTCACTTCTACGTCGCATTTTGCAGTTTTGCTCTCCTCAATGCAAGTCCGGCATGTTTGGGGCATGGGGTCTCGGGCCACTTGTGGGCCACCTGCTGCAGTCTTCGGGCTTCTCCTTAGTCGGAAGTCATCTCTCAAGTCGGTGGTGGCAGTGATGGCTGCGTGCGAGCGGAAGATAAGCGAGCCAGCTGGACAGTCGTTCCTGTGCCGACATCATGAACATTGATCTGCGAGCCGACTTTGTTCTCGGCAGTCCAGCATGGCGACAGACTGTATTTGCTCCTCTGCTTGTTTGTCGATGGTCACTTCGTGTTGGAGGCAGTGTCAGGCCGACGGTGTAAGTGTTCCTCGTGCTCTCCCAGTGCCCGCTTCAAAGGCGCCGAGGCTGGTTTCTGTGCCTATAGAAGCATCATGAGCACTGACATGCAAGTGGTGCAGTGCTTCCGCTCTTGAGTCGTGATGCTTGGTGGAGTGGTGATGTTGGGCCTTGCTGGGAATTAGTATTTGCCAAAAAGGTGCGAAACGCCGCTGGAGGTTCACGCCTTGGGTGATGACCGGTTCAAGGCCGATGTTGAGCTTTTTGCTGCTTCCACCATGTCCATTCGGAGGACTCTTGGCCTGAAGGAGATGCAGTGGACACTTGCTTGACTGCATGCCCTTTGCAGGAATGCTGTCCGCTGCTAGTTCGCAAGCAAATCTACCGGTGGCTGGGTCGCTTGGTGCCCCACCTTCCAGAACTCCAGGAAAGATCTGGATAGCGAGTCATGTTGGTCCTCTCGTCGCTTGGCTTCCGCTGCTTCCTGGTGGCTTGCGGCTCTGTCCGCTGGCAGCAGGCATCTTGAAGTGGTTCGCTGCTACTGTAGTTTGGTTGGCACCCTTTTCACATGCTCCGGGGAGGCGAGCCACTAAGTGGGTTGCTGCGACTGGTTCTCCTCTGAATGTTCTCGACACTTGATGGCTTTGGTCTGGTGGGACGAGGCAGCAGAAATGGGCTTGACATCATGTCGTTGGTGGCGGTGTCGTTCATTGCACGGCACCTCCTGGAGCCGGCATGGTGCTTCGTCAAAGGGACATCTGTTCGTGTTGGCTCTCGGCGCATGGTGTCCGCTGCTCTTTGGTTGTGGCGGCTTGTTTTGGGGGCAGCTGTCATCTTGATGTTGCGTTTGCTACGGCACCCGCGGCCATGCTCACTTGAAGAGAGCCCTTAACTGGATTGCTGCTGCTGGCTCGACGTCGCACGCTTTTGACACCCGCTGCGATGTTGTGGCTGGACGAGGCAGCGGCCTTCGATTTGGCATCGTCATCTTACTGCTGGTGTCATTAGCCTCGCCTCTGCTCTAGTTGACGAGGTTCAAGCTTGACACACATTGTGCGTCAAGCTTGGCGTTCTTGAGCGCTGTGTCAGCATAAGGCCTCTGGTAGGCATCATGTTGATGCTTTATTGCTTTGGGGGCCACTTGGTCTCCTGCTGCCCTCAGTGGCCACATGTTGGCTCGTCCTTCCGCTGTTTGTGTTTGGCTTCCGTGTAGGCCGGTCGGTGTTGGGCATTTGGCGGTCTTGTGCGGGCGTTTGCAGTGATTTTTCGAAGGGTCTGCTTGTGCTTTGCCCGCTTCGGGTCGCTTGCACGCCAAAATTCTATTGGCCAGGTCATGTTGATGTTGGTCGGTTACAGCATGTTGTTCGCCAGGCTTGGCGCGCTTGGGCGTTGTGTCAGCATGTTGCTACTGGTATGCGTGACGTTGGTGCGATTGGTTGCTTTGGGCCCTACCGTCGTTACTTCCAACGAATCGACTGGGACGCCACGCGTAAGTGGGCCTATAGTAATCCTTGTGCTCGCACTGTGGCCTGTGGCGCCACGTGGTCTCCTGCGGCCCTTGGCGGTCGCATGTCGGTTCGTCCTGGCACCTCTTGCATATGGCACCCTTGTGGTGAGCTGGGCTTGGGAGCATGTTGCGTGGCTTTGTCCTTGCAGGTTGGCAGGGTCCTTTTGCCCTCGGCCTCGCTTGGCGCTCTTTGCCAGGTGGGGTTGGGTAGTCAAAGGCCAACAGGTTGACTATGTTGCTTTGTGCATCGTTGGTTGATCACAGTCCAAGATAAGCTCTGGGCAACTTTTCATCCCACGTAAATTGATTGCCGCTTCCCTGGGCTCTTGGTTAGGCTGCTTGCTTGCTTGGTTGTCTCTCCTGTTTGGTTGCGCAGGCTCCTAGTGGGCCGCGCTTGTGCCTTGCCCGTTTCGGGGTATTGGCACCTATAAAGTTTTATATTTGGCCAGGTCATGACCTTGCCTCTGTCGCTCGCTTCTTGCTTGGTGAAATATTTCGGATGGTTGTGCACATGAGTTGTCAAGTGTTGCCACTAGCTTCGTGCTGTTGGCTGCACTTCTGCTCTCATGTCATATGGTTGCCCCTCCTTTTGACACGAGGGTTTATGAGGTGTCCTGTCCATTTGGGGGCTGCCGGCACCGGAACAAAGTTAGTTAGTTAGTTTGGCCAGGTCATGACTGGTGTGTTCTGCAATAGCGATGCTCGGATCTGGATTGTTTGCTCAAGTGTTTTTTTTGGGTCTGTTTTGCCAGGAGAACCATTAGATAATGAAAGTCTAGATTTTCCTCCTACTTCAGAACTCAGGCTATAAAGGCAGCGGAACGCGACCATGACACGGTGGTGGCACAGGTCATGCAAACTCGCCGTGATTACCAAGACGCTGCTCGGAATGCATGCGACAGGAGACATAATCTCTCGACCGAAGGACGAGTATCATAAACGACGTCAAAACTTCGTGAGGAAGTTCATACTATCAACGCAACCAGGGTTCCTAGTTTGACAGTTGCGACCGAGATGGTGAGCAACCTGTTCAAGCGGATTGATGAAAGAGGCCTCGGGCATCTCACCATTACCGATCCTTTCCTGCACTATGCGCCGGACCAAGATCGGTGTGACGGCTTTCCACAATGACACAATGAGTCGGGGAGATTACTTGTGCTGTGTTTGCGTTACATTGCCGAAATAAGGTAGTCTGTCTTGTTGAATATTCGGGGAGTTCGTGGCATGTGATATGCTCTGCAACTCTAGGGCCAGAGGCCTGCTTACAGTACATGATTGTGACATGCCGAATTCGCATCGTATTCGCACACGGCGAGCAGCATCACTCTGGAGACGCTACTTCGCCGGCGAGCCAGCTTCTTCGTTCCTTGTGCAAAGGAGTTCGAGAAGCACTTTGATGATGAGTCAGTGCAAGCACTGCCGCTGGGCTGCAAGAAGGACGTGCGCCCACGTTGTCAAGAACGAGGGCTGCGATCAAAGGTTCGAGTATCTCCAAATCGGTGCCATCGATGCTTGGACACTGTTCCTGAGCTTGGACAAGGAGCAGCCGCATTTTTTCACGCGGTGTTCTTGGACACTATCACTTTGGACATGAAACTTGCTCATGGACCTCCGCGGCATTTCGGAACCTTCCGGCCGACAAATTAATTTAGGTCGAGTTTGCCGTGCTGAAGCCTGCTTGCTCAAACTGAGTGGAGGACGGTGATCACACAATCAGTGTGGACGAGTTTACGGAGCGCTGCGACATGGCTCAATTCAGCTCTCGAATATTGCCTTTGATGCGGTGCAAGAAAATAAGTCATATATAATTTTCTTATTTATTTTCGGTCATATATATATATATATATTTATGTCTTAAAGCTGACATATATATGTATATATATATATATATCTCTCTCTCTCTCTCTCTTTCCCCGTCACTGTCACCGTCGCTGTCTCTGTCGCTGTCTCTGTGTCTCTCTCCTTCTGTGTCTCTCTCTGTCTCTCTCTCTCTCTGTCCGTCTCTCCGTCTCTTCTCTCTCTCGCTCTCTCTCACATCTATAAAAGGAGTTCTCAGAATAATACGGATAATGTATGTTCAAGACTCTATTTGTTCCTCTCTCTCTCTCTCTCTCTCTCTCTCTCTAATTTTCTATAACGGGTATGTGTATACTGTATATTTCAAGTCTTCTCACATTGTTACATATTAACATATACGTACTGCACATTCTAGAGTACAAACAATTTCGTTATGTATAGTATGCGGCGCACTACAAATTTCATATTCAAGTTGGTGTTCTACTATATGGTATTAGCTGTGTTTTTGATATGTTGTTCATTATTCCTTAGACTCGTGTTTCATTATACATGAACTATCAGGTTGCACCTGTACTTATTGTATATCATATTTCAAGGGCCATCTGCCACCTATTGCACACACACATTTATATATATATATACATACTATATATTGTATGTTATATTTATACACATGTCATGTAATATCATGTCATGCCATATCATATCATTTCGTATGATTATAGATTGCATAGTGCTCTGTATAATCGATATGATCATACATTGCATTATTATGTAAGTAAGTATGTATCGTATCATGCTTTCATATCTTATTCCAATATATCAGATTATGTTATATACCGTTATGTGACATAATGTAGTATCATGTTGTGTTATACCATGTCATATTACATTATGTTATATTCTGTTCCGATGTATCATACCGTGTTACGTTTTGTCATATTGAGTCATATCATACCGTGTTATAGCATATCATATCATATCATGTCATATCATATCATATCATATCATATCATATCACACTATATCATACTACAATATATATATGATTAGATTATGTTTTATCGAAAGTTGCATATTTAGTAATCCTTTTAAATATTGTATTCTGTATATATATATATATGTTATATCACGTTTATAGTGTACCATATCATGCAATAGATTTTGTGACGCATGGGTTCATCTATTTCCATGTGGGTTATATGTGTGTATTGGTATGGTGCGCTTGGTTTTTGCGTCGTGCTTTGCATCCTGTATGTTGTCTACATTATGCTGTATCTGCGCTTTACGCATTTTCGTTTGTTATGTGAATATGACACATGCGCTGTATGGGTGTTTTTGTTCCGATAATAAGTATGATGTGTGAATTCCTGCTCCTTTTATCAGTTCGTTTTTGTTTTTACTACTTATTTCGATGCGTACATCGTTACTGTGACTCATGCAGTCAATGCTATACATTGTACATACTGGCTCTCAAACTAGTTGCAAACCAGCGCCTTGTCTTTTCGGAGATGGGGCACAGCAGCCTGTGGGGGCAGAGCAAACCTTGCCTGCAAAGGTTTCGAAAGCAAGTTCATCTATGTGGTATCCAGCGTGTTCAGTCTGTACCAACATAGACTGGGCCCGTATGGGCGTGTGGTTTTGTTGAAGCCAGACCGTCCGACATCAAGCGAACATTCCATGAAGATTTGCACACTATGTTGTTGGATTCCGAATGGGTAAGATGGGCGCATGAACAGCAGTGTAGAAGTCTCACAAGAAGTGGCGTAGCACACTTGTGCAGGTATGCAGCTGCATGGCCCCGCGAGATCTGCAGACATTTTTACTTTGCGCCAGAGCTGTGCTGCTGGACTTGGCATGTAATTGAGGGTGTCTGTTCTGTTCTGTAATGTAAGCTCCAGGATGCCGAGCTTGAACATTAGCTCATGGGTTTCGGAGGGCAAAGCAGGCTGAAGGGTGGTGATGGAAGCGAAGTGGCAGCTAGTGTTGTGAGAGCTGAGACTGCTTTGGCTGTGTTCCATTTCTTAAGGCAAAGCTTGCGAAAGACTTGAGGAGAATGGATGAGACACAGGCGCGCAAGATGTAATCCTGTTGGTCGGTGTCCGCGATTTTTCATGCTGCTGCTGGTAGGAGAGAATGGAAATGGGGTTGGCACTGATCCTTCACCAACAAGCAGCTCGCGATCCCCCGTTCAGCCACTTGGCTGAACAGTTGTCGTGTCTCTTCCTACGCCCTGACGCAAGTAGATGCATGTGAGGCTTGGGCTTGAAGTCTGCTGTAGAGTGCCCACTGTCGGGAGGAAGGGGCACAAAGGCTTCTCATTGCTCTGTGTAGCCCAGGCGTGTGACCAATGTCGGGCCTCTGAGAATGACTGCAGCCCGGTTTCTTGTTCGGTTGATGGACCGTTGGTGTGCAGGCGAGAAGCATGATGCAACAAGTGCTGGGTCAGGGGGCCATGTCAGATAAGCCATCCATGGTCTCGAGCACAACAACGCTTCTTTCATTCTTCTGCTGCCAGGTCGGGGTGTTACATACCCTGGCCATGCTCGCTTTTATTGTCTCCAGGGTTGGTTAGAGCGGCAGCACACAAGAACCGGCATTTGTCGAAGCAAAGGTCCAAGCGTGGTGCGATGGTACCATTGCTTGCAAGTTGCCTTAAAGTTGCTGTTGCTGGCAAGCCCCTACCCAGCTTGGCCATTCACAAATCGCCCGCCATTTCAGCAAGATAGGTTATAATATAAAAAGAACATAACAGCATATAGTATAATATGATATAATATATGTGGTATATATATATATATATTTATATTCTTTGGTGTCAGTCCTTTGGCCAAGCAGCCAGCTGCAGGTTCGGGACGTGCCTTACAGGCTGCATTTCTGCGCCTCCACAAAAACCTGAGCCCGATTTTGGCGAATGTTACTCCTTGTGTCAGCTTCAGACTCACAGACTCTGCGAATCCAGCTCAACCCTGGTGATCCCTGGTGAACGGCTTTCAGTGATTGTATCTGGTAGACAGATCAAGCAGTCTAAACACAAGATGTGTGACAGACTTTGTCCAAAGCCTGGGACATCCTCAAAGGTTGTTCAGCGAGGCTTTCAGTAATTCTTGAGGTCTCGGCAGCTATTCAACAAATGCTTCAAGCCGAACCCGAAACCCTAAAGTCCTAACACGGGCTCCGCAAGGAGTCTCGGGCGACCTGCGAAGTATTCTCGACGAAAAGCTCACTGCAAACGCAGTGATGCACCCAAAGAGCTACGATGTCAGAGCAAAATGCATCTGCTCTTCTCTTCTGTGCGGTCTTTCTGCATAAGGTGCCAGTGTGTAGGGGTTCCGGACGAAAACCTATCTAATCCTGTCTGCACAGCAACAGCAAGAGCGATACTGTCCGATACTGATGATTGCAAACAACGGGCGCATGATGGGCGACAGGCCGTTTTGCTGGGTGAATCATGCAGACGAAGTTCGCCGCTTGATTGAGGGGTGTTTAACTTTTTCTTTTCCGTCATGCGTTTCGTCGGCTGCAAGGCAAGGGGTTGCGACGGTGTGTTCAGCGCAAATGTCAAGTTCGCTGCATCAACAGGAGCTAGACCCGAACCGAAGCACAGGCGGCTGGGCGAGCGAGTCTGAGTGAGCACTGCTCTTGTTGAGACTCCCGGCGATCACTGGCAGCATCATAGCAGCACAGCTGAGCTAGATAATTGGACTCATGTTGCGGTGAAATCTGCACGGATGTTGAGCTCATGCATTGCATCATAAATTAATAAAGCCTGCCACAAAATCATGAAGGCAGCGCCTAGGCTCAGGGGCCAGGCGCCTTGAATTGGCGGGAGCACAGGCGATCCAGAGCTTTGGGCACTGATGGGCGTTGCTGCCTTGAAGTGCGAGTTCAGAGAGCACCAAATGGTGTGAGAGGAGGCGTTTAGATAGTGTTTTTCCCGCCTTCATTTTCCCCTGGCCCGCATAGATTCCTTCGAGTCGAAGACTTGAACTTGCCCGAACTTTTGCTACCAGCCGCAATGCAACACGGGTGTCGCGGCACCGCTGCGTTGCTTTCGCAAGATGGCGTCGTCGTGTGGAGGCGAAACCTTGCATCCTTGAGCTGATCCAGGTCAGGTGTCGAAGGCCGTCCTGTCGCGGGCTTGAGCTATTGTCCGAAATGCATGGGGTCTGGGTCTGCACCATCTTGCAGCTTTGCCCTCCTAGGTCCTATAGGACCTACTGCAATACAGTAGCGATGGATCATTGAGGCACCTCGCTATGTAGATGATGGAATTGCTATGCAGTGTTTCTTCTTGCCTTAGCACACCGAACTGGAGGAAACTATTTCCCAGCAGCATGCATCGGTTGCCCAGCCATGCGGCAAACGTGGCAAGCCATGTCCGTGATGCTGACAAGCCGCAAAGCGGCCGGGGGACCTACGCGGATTGCCTGAGGTTCATGTTGTTGCTGTGCTTGGCTGAACGAACATCTGAGGGGATGCATCGCCAAGATTCACACCACAGCGTCTTGGCAAGGACCGCAAGCGGATTAAGGGATCGCGTCATCTCTGCCCAGGCTTGTGAGCCGCCTCAGCATCTGTGGCTTGCCGCCCCCTCGCTTGACCTCAAGGCTCTTCGGTTCGGGTTGCAGAGACCAGCGGTGAACCTGCAAAGAGGCAGTGGAAAGTGCTCGCCCTTCTCCAAGCTGCCGGCTATTTCGGTGCCTTTGGCCAGAATGGAATGTCAGTCGCCGTCGAGAACTTGAGGAATCGCAAGGCATACTCGATATTGCCAATAAATCAGGGATCGCAGTCTGTGCCTAATCCTTGCGCGGCGATTCCACAGCTTAGGGAAAGAGTTTGTGCCTTTCTGAGGTAATTTTGACAGAACGATCTTCGGCATAGCAGTGCCGCAGATTCAAAGCAGCCTGGCCGAGAGGGTGGGCCAGTCGATCTTGGCTTGGAGTCGGCTCAATGCTTTAGCAAGGGGCACGGACAATTTCGAGCACCTAGATATACTAGCCAGTTCTATGGAGTCTGAAAGCGATCGAGCACGATCCTCCAGTGCTCCGTGCAGCCGCGGCGGAAGCTGACAAGCTAAGGAGACTTTGCCTTGTCGGATGCGCAAATCAGCTATGCAGCATCTGTGCTGGGGCTCTCGTCGATCTTGGCTTCTGCCATCTCCTGCTTGTCGGACCCCGGCTAAGTCGCATCACATCCTTCGCTTGAAAACGGCGAACAGAGAGTGCAGCATCATGGAGTGCACCGCCGCAGTACATATGACATCAAGGATGTGTGTTCTCGCCACATGTCTTCTGAGAAACACAACGCGCACAGGATCGCTATGGCAGAGCCCAAGTTCTTATGTGGACGTCAGAGCCTCAGCTGGGTTGCCAAGTCTTGCAAACATGACGTCTCCGACGGTTTGTCGGGCAGAGCCGCAAAGCTCAGGCTGGCACCTTACACGTTGGCTACTGCCTTGACAGCGCTGTCAAGGTGCCTGTTCTCGATTGTTCCTGGCTCCCTTAGCCCAGTGTGTTTATTGGCTGTCGCCGATGCTGCCCAAACATGCTTTTCAGCGACTTGTCAGGAGCATCACATCTTTCGTCCTCCTACAGCTGCTTGCGGCAGCTTTCATAACTGCGGAGAGGGGGAGAATCAATGCATGCACCCCAATTTGTCTTTGCCCTTGATCCACAATCCACACCGTCCAGTCATCCACAGTTTTGTACCGGAGTCCTGGACGGGACGGTGCGCTCCGCAGGAGGGCATCATATCCCACGTAATCGTACTGGAGGACGAAGGGGGCAAATCCGTGTGACTGTGCTCAGCGCTTTCCGCATGTATATTGTTCTGATTTCAGAAAACTCGGGTCCCAGGAGATGCCAGCAGATTGCAGGGGATGGGCCGTCGGCTTGCTAAACACTGGCTCGGCCTGCGGCACAGGCGGCTTATCACTCCTTAGGCTTAGGTTTATAGGTTTGGACATGTTCTCCATCAGGCAAGGTGAAAGATGCGACAGTACAGGGCCAGGTCATGCATCTAAGCAGGATGCTGCCAGCTGTTCGCATCGACGAAGGCCTCGGCCTGCTTCTCTTCGGGGTGTCTGACGGAGCCTGGCGGCTCATGTGCCCTCGACGATGTGTCCTCATCACGTCTTGCCAAAATTGGCCTCCAGGTATGCGCTGTCCATTCTCCCATTGGTCGGCATTGGCTTCATACGCCGACATCTTCCTGAAACAAGGCGGCGAAGCAGCGGTTGTGGAACCTCGCTCTTCATGGCCATGGTTGTGTCAAAGAGGACGAGTTTGTTTTTTGTCAGCGCTTCTTCTTTATTCGTCTTTTTTGGTAGAAGGTTGAGGGAACAAGCGCACTGGATGTTAGGAGTTTCGTGATCAGGGCAACACGACGCGGTTTATGGTTCGTTCTGCGAGGCCATCGCCCGAAGTACCATGTGCCTGAGTCTACTGGGTTGCTCCAGAGCTCGGAGGTTGATTCCGGGTGATACCGTGATCCGGACGCCTGAAATGCTGCTCCCGCGTCGGCCGAGCTGGTCAACCTGCTCAGGCGGTGGTCCGCAGCGAACACCCTGGAGATGGACAAGGACCCAAGCAGGGCAGGGTTGGGGCCATTCGGACAGCAGGTCGTTGAGCAGTCCCGGGTCGAAAGGTTGCCCAGATCTGCAAAGAGTGTGTCATGTCGTTTCCCACAAGATTTGGTGAAAGCGATATCGCCCCCGGTCCCTCAAGCCCGCTGCACATCTGTGCTGCAGTGAGGAGAGTGCACAGGAAGAGCTGGAGGTGCAAAGCCCAAGCCTCAGAGACTGCCAACTCTGTCAGTCTGCTTTCTTTAATTTGTGTCTATTGTCTGCGGCAGGGCTAGATAAGAAAATCCTTGGAGTGGCGGTAGTCGGGTAGTCTTTTTTTGCAGCCGCTCGCGATCGTGAAGTTCAGGGCATCTGGCGAGTCAGGGGGCAGCCTGGTTTCTAAACCACATTTTCATAATATCGAAGCCGCCTGGGCTGAATGGAGGGCCCAGGAGCGGCCGTAGAGCTCCTCCTATAACAGGCTCAAACAAGAAAGCCTGGAATTTCTGGGAATTTTCTTACTTGGCTGTGTTCGGGGGAGCATTGATTAGGACAACGAGAATGTCAGATTGTGTTGTTTAGCTCTGTTTCGGATTATTGTTCAGGGTTTGACTGGTAAAAGGGTTTACCTGGCATCGTTGAAATTCCAAATCCTATATGAGCCCCTAAACCCTGGACCGTCAGGTGTTCGCTGTTTGTTCAAATTCCAAGGGATGTGTTGAGACTAAGCGTTCACCTTCAGAACGGACCCCCAGGTCAGGGTACTCTGGTTTTGTCAGTTTTGTTCGTCGCTGTGCCCCGAATCATGCTTCAGAGCAGCGGCTCTTCTCGATCACAGCGCAGTGCAGTTTTCGGAAGCTTAGGACACAATTTCATTGCCTTGCGGGGAGCAGTGCGTTGAACATGGCTTCCGGTGGGATCGCAGGCTTTGCCCGAGTGTCAGAGGCCTGCGCCTGCCTCCGCTGACTCCGCTGCGCCTCGGCTCCCCCACCGAGGCGTGGCGGCTTCTGCTAGACTCAAAGGGGGCATGAAGGTCCTGCAGACATCGCAGAAGCCCCAGCTCCGTGGTGGCTCCGAATGCACTGTTGCTAAGGAGCCGACCGCTGCAGCGAAAAGGTGCCATTTGAAAAGACTGTCGAAGGCCTGTGCAGCGGAAAGCTGATCTTTGGTGTGCTTGTGAACCCTCTGTGAGATGCATGTTGTCAGGTAAAGCGCCAGCACTTGTTCTGCATTCTCGCTTCTTTCCTCGGTTCTTTCTTTCCGAGCGCTGCCAATTTCTACGCCTCCAAACAGATCCAAGTGGTGCACGGGTTTGGGGCGCCCCGTGGTTGAACTGAGCGAGACTGTGCGCCAGTAGCATGCAGAAGCAGAGGCAGTTAGATGACATTACATGGTCTGCCATTTTGCCATTCCGGCAGTTTGCGTTGGTATGTGTTGGTGAAGCTACGTCGGTGCCATCTGTCTGTCTGTCTGTCTGTCTGTCTGTCTGTCTGTCTGTCTGTCTGTCTGTCTGTCTGTCTGTGCATCTGTTTCGATCTATCTCTTTGGATGTGGGACTGCCCGTGGTCAGGGCCTTGCTTTCCCATGCTTTCCGTCTAAGTCCTCCTCTTTCTCGTTTTTGCCTTGCCCGTGTCCAAACACCTACAGCAGGCGCCGAGGCATGAACACCTTCCTCCCTAGCCCCGGATCCAAGGGCAGGCTTCGCGAAACTGTCTTTGATTGGTGGCATCCTGGCGCTCTCCGCTTTCATCATTGCTGGCCGCCTGGCAGTGATGTGATTGAGGTGGGGAACGAGAAGTCGAAGAGTAAGGGAGGTGCAGGTGAGCAGGCCTTTACTGGAGATTGGAAGAGCAGAAGACGTGTAAGACTGACTAGGAGAAGAAGAGGCGAAGAAGAATCGCCCAAAGAAGCACAAGATGTGCAAGAAGAAGCGGGTAACGATCAATTCTCGGATCGGATAAGATGTGAAGATGAGTGGGGGCACATGGGCGCTGTAGCTAGGTAGGAGTGTGGGACATCTCAAGATGGCGGACCCACTGCAAGAACTTACGTTGAAGCTGGGTATTGATGAGGCTCTTGGAATCTAGAAATTGCTCGAAGCTTCTGGAAACTTCTTGCTCAGCTAGCCGTAGCCGCTAGCCTCCACTGAACCTTGCGCAGGAGCGAGGAAGCAGTCAAACATCTCCGACTCTAGGTCATGGTGGTTTGCAGCTTTTGCCAACTTCTCACTGAGGATACCTGGGAGATCGTTACGGCAGGAAGTTGCTGGGTGTTTCTGGAATCCTTCTCAAAGCCATGACAGCGCGCTCCTCGGGACATAGGCTCTGCTTCGTCGCTTCACGGCAAATCCCGAGTCAGTTAGAACTGGGCAGAAATCGCCCCTGTTTTCCTTTGGCCAAGTGGGGCACTGCAGCTCAAGGATTTCATGTTCTACAGCATCAGCCCGGGCAAAGCCTATTCAGCCAGGGCCTCAGCACGAAGGATCACCTTGTGTGAAGTGGAGTCGGGAATGTAGCCCGCAGCCATCAGGTTGAGTAAACGCTGTAACCTGAACCAATGGGTTCTAACTGGGAACTTTGTTTCAGGAACTGGCTCGAAATTGTCGGGAAACCAGGTCCGCTGTAACGGGAACTAGGGGTTTAGGGTTTAACAATAGTTTGGGTTCAGGGTGGGTTCGGGTTTAGAGAATATGGTTTGGGGTGTAATAATTGGAGAGGGGGTTGTGGGGGGGGGGAGTGTAGGAATGAAGGAAAAGTAGAGCTTTCATGATAACGTTTCAGCCTAGAATTGATGAGTTTCGAATAGGGGGGGTGATTTCTGGGTTTAGGGTTGAGGGTTTAGGGTTGAGGGAGAGGAAAAGGAATGGGATAGGAAGAGGACAGGTAAGCTTTTTGTCTTCGGGTTTAAGGGTTAGGAGTTGGGGTCTAATGTTTGGGCTTCCAAGCCGTTTATAAGGGCTAAGGGTTTCCGCGGGTTTCTTACAAGGGCTTGTAAAGCTTTCGTAGGGCTTTATAAAGGGCTTACACGGGTGCCCTTGAAGGCTTCTCAGGGTTTTTTTTAAGGGCTGTTAGGGCTTCTGAGGGCTTGTAAGAGCATATGAAAGGCTTTTAAGTGCCTACGGATGCTGCCGCGCGGGAGCCAAAAAATCTCCAGACTAAACCCTGTAAATTAAAGTCTCAATCCAAAGCCCAAAACTCGGTTTCGGTTTTGTTGTCCGGCTGGTTTCCGATACAACTCCCGCTGGTTACAGTTACTAGCCCCAACCCAGTTCCAGTTAGATGTGCCTCTGGTTCCTGGTCGGTTCCTGAAATATGGTTCCCGATCCGTTGCGCGCTGTTTGGGGTTACTGTTACAACCTCACCCCAGCAGGTGCTTCTCATCGTCAGTGTCTTCTGTGTGCGCACAGCTCTGGGCATGGCGCTGGACACTACCTTCCAGGTGGGTGGGATCGCGTGGACTCCACACTCTTTCAGCGGCGCTCTCTGTCCTCAAGTCTGCTTCGGTTTGCATGGTACACGCGAGGCGATGGGAGGGGAAGTGTTCCCAACCTCAGGGAGAACCTCCGCTCAGGCACAGCGAGGGGCATCCGAAATGGTTTTGTCGTGCTTGACCCAACCTGAATCGTATTCTCCGATCCCTTGCGCTGTGAAACTCACGGGGGGTGACAAAGGGCCTCCTGGTTCTCACCGGCGGCCTCGGTGGTCCACTGGGCTGCTCTGCTGAACTGGGACTGGGGAATCTCCGATCTCCGAATGCTTCGAAGTCCGGAAATCCTGGCCAAGGGCTCCTGACAGCCACGCGACTCGGGGATGTCCTCGGGACATCCGAAGCCACGAGGCACGGCTCCCTGATGCGCAGACGGGGAAGCATGTCCTGGTGTGCATGCGGTCTTTGTGCCATCGCCGGAGGCTCATGGCATGTGGGCAGATTTTCACAGCTCTGATCATAGCGTTTGGATTTCCAGAGACTCACGGCCGGGAGCTCGAAGATATCAACAGTTGACATCTGATTCCAGAAGCACCAAAGCGACTACCGTAAGAGGAAGTAGATTTTGAAGGATCGCGCCTGACTTGTCGCACGACCCATCTTCGAGCTTTCATCGGTTCAGGATCCGCAGCCAGAGGCATTCAACTGCTTGGCTGATCTCTGTACATAGATCTGAAGACGGCTCTCTGTGCATTGTCGCGGTTATCGTGGGGTCAGGGGTCCTGCCGAGCATATCGAGTTTGTTACGGACACAGAGATACGGAGAGCCAGCAAGACTTCAGCTTGACAGTCTGTGATGACTCCTCACTGCTGTCGCAAACAAGCTAACACGGCTTTGCTTGACTGTGCGCGGACCGCTTATCGTGGCCTGTGAAGGAAACGGTGCATGCGCTACTCAATATACAGCATGTCTGGCGCATGCAGCGGCATTCCAAGCATGTAAATACACTGGAAAGCAGAGCTCACTTCATGTAGTGTGGCGATGGCACAGTGGCAACCCTTCCTTTCCAGCATAGATATTCGGCCCACATGGCATGCAGCTATGCACCGCATTTCTGTCTTGCGGCCAGCTCTGAGGCACGTCAAGTGTGGCAGCCACACCGTGGGTTAAGTTGGACAGCTGCAAGTCGCACATATCAGCAGGCACATACTGCAGGTCGCTCTGCGTCGTCGTTCTGTCAGAGCACGTGGGGTGTGCTGTCGATCCTTGGGACCCACCTGTTGAGGCCTCATCGCGGGTGTCACGGCGTTGCACAGCTGTGCAATCAGCGAGCCTCTGTGAAGCAAGTCCCTCCAGAGCTTGTCATCGCAGGTGACCTCATCGTCAGTTTCGCAGCTCCAACTCTTGAGGCATTCGTGCTGACTGGTAGCGGGCTGTACACCCCGCTGTGGCTGATATTCGCTAGTGCCCAGCCAAGCTTGATCAGCCCGGAATTACGGCATGGGCTTGTGCTTGCTTTATGTTGGCTGTGTAGTGCAACCTATGCACAGGGGTACGCAAAAGAGGCACTGGATGGTCAGAACTTATCAGAGCTACTGTGGCGCCTCTTCATTGCGAACTTCCTGAATGCCTGGTTGATTTTCTTTGCGACGTCCTTCCTCGGGCTTTTCGAACCTTTTAACGAAGCAGAGGCTTTGCGCTTGGGGATCTCACCAGGGACTTGGGGCTCTCTCGGCTTTAACTTGGATGTCAAAGTCTTCAGGCAGGTTTTAGATGTCAACATTGACATCCTTGTGGAGGGGCTCCTTCTAAGTGCTTGGCATGCCTTCTGTGCCGGATCGGACTTTGGGGAAATTTGGAGTCTATTGGTGCGACAAGTTCGCCCTTGACCTCGTCGTGAAAGGCCATGGCCATGCCGCGACCATACATCCGCCCGGTCTGCCGCCTGCAGCTTCCTGCCGCGAGCTCCACGGTCTCGGCAAGTCTGGACTGCTTTCTACTGCCTTGGCTACTTCTCATCTCTGGTGCATATTTGGCGAAGTCAGCTGTGTTTGCGACCAGATCTCAAGGCAGCCGGCGCCTGCACATGGTAGCGGTCGGAACCAGCTTGCCGTTTGCGAGAGGCTGCATCAAAACACAAAGTGTGCGAGGTGGGGGCCTGCTATGACTGTGCCGAAACCGGCTTTTCTTCAGAGCATCCATTGGGCACGGCCTCGTTTGGAATGGAAGCCCAAAGCCACCTGCCACAAAGGCAAAAGGCATGCGTAGAGGATTTCGCGGCATAGTGATAGTGTTTGTGGAGCTCGGCTTTAGCACGGGCTCAAAAGCAAAACAACCTCACAAACGGTTGCCGTTGTGCCTAGGCTTGAAAAAGGGCCCACATGGAGAAATTGCACCACGGATGCCTGCGCCAAGGCATCGTACCCGATACAGGCAAGCAAAAGCCATGACCAGCTTAACTCTGCACTTTGCTGGACTCAGCTTCCCTTACCTTCGAACCACAGATGATCAGTTCTGTATCGAGGACCCTGTAAACCCGGTTAAGAAAGACAGGTTCGGTAGTGACAGACCCTGGCGGAGGGTCTTCCTCTCTTGTCTTGCCCATGGCCCCTGCTGCACAGCGTGGTGCCGCCAGGTGCGACATCAGCAGGGTTCCGCAGAAGCCGAGCTGACAACTTTCTGTTTTCCGTTTCAGCCGAGAAACTGCAATAGGTGCCAAGGGCCGACACGCAGCGACGTGCTGATGGTGTTGTCTCCTGCCAATGTGTCGCAAAGCATCCGTTGTCGAGGCTCCTATGGCAGTCAGCCAGAAGAATAGCAGCGTCTAGCAGGCCAGGCACTCTACATGTCTGTAAACAGGGATGTGATCGCTTCTTCGATGAGATGTTGGTGGCTGTGCTGTTGGTTTTTTTGCGTAGATCCCTCAAGTGGCACACCCCCACGGATTAAGGCACAAGTGTTGAAAGGCAGAAGATGGTGAGGGGCCGGGCAGCAGAAGAAAGAGAATCGAGACAGGTGTGTCCATCGCATGTGAGAAGTTGAGCAGCGGACACGAAGGTTGAACTCATCTCACTAACATTGCGGGAACGAGGCAAGGCTTCGGAAATAAGAGGGAAAAAGTTAAGAAGCTGCCTACACGCACGCAGCAGCTGGCTGGCCCCAGCCCTAGCTGTGACCATAGTGAAGGGCTTAGGTCTGAGTCGACAGGTGCCTTGGAATGAGATCGCTGCTGCTAAAAGCCACGGCTGTAGAGCTAACGACCTTCGCGATGGCCACATGTTGCATATTGTTGCATTGTCGCGTCAACTTCCGTGCTCGAAACTGAAACCTGCAATGCGGGCTTGGCCTAGCTAGCTGGGAGGCACAACACTATAGTGAAAACACAAGGCCTCAACTTCCCGGCCTGGGCGGCGGGCTCATCAAATCCGGGGAAGGAACGAAGGAAAGACGGCAAGTGACGCATCTGGATGAGGCAAATAGCTTGCAACACAAACCGCTCACGTCGTGCAAGCTTGGTGAAGAAATGCCCTGACATCGGTACAACCCCACTTACCTACTTTCCGAAAACACCTAATCGCTAAGGCGGACATCGCCCTTGGTGGCGACAAACTGTGAAGAACGCTCAGATTTCATGTGGGCTGCGCGGGCATTAGGCCGGAAAGTGTGAAGTGCAAGGGCAGGGGGGATTCCTTCATGGAGTGTCTTCAGATGCGGGTGGGTTGTTGTTGCATGCAAGGCCGCCGAAGTGTATGTGGGGGTGCTTTGGGAGGTGGCACCTGGTAAGCTTTTGAATTTTTGAACATGTCTCAAAATTTCGTTGGCCGCTGCGATCCCTGAGCAAGCGTGATGTCGCATGCGGCAGGCGGCGCCGCAGCTGCATTCGTTGCCGGTGGAGCTGTCAGCCACTCGCAATGCGACACCACCGGCCATCGCCAGGGCCTCGTCACAATCCGCGGAGACATCAACCCGAACAGCAAGCATCATCAGCAACCCCCTTCACGAACCAGCCCCCAGCAGCCAGCATCATGAGCATCAGCTCTTCCACTACCTCTCGTGAGCCAGCCCCATGTTTGCTATGACCATCAGCTGCCACGCCGTTTCGCAATTCGCAAGTCAGCTTCATCAGCATCAGCTTCCCACCCCGCTTCGCGAGCCACCCTTCAACAGCCAACCTTCAGCTACCACGCCCTTACCGCACCGAACAGTCAGCATCATCAGCGTCCGCATCTGCGATACGCTGTTCATCCTTTCCAATTCTCCAACCGAGGTCTCTACCCCAAGGACCTCGAGCAGTTCCTGAAGCCCTCGGAGTTCAACCCAATCCCAGCATCTCGGCGAAGATTAGACCCAGGGTTTCTGAACCGGGCTCCTACATTACTATATTATAGGGCCTTAATGGTTTGGGGGTGCCCTATACTATTCCAGACAGCCGAAGGACTTGGGTAGGGCTCGTGTGTGAACATCGTCCCCTTAAAGGGTATCTATGCCTGAATAGGGGTCTTACCGAATTGACTTCAACAGGTGACCATGCCACCACCTTTCCCCGGACTCGCCAGGCGACCGAATGCTTTGCCTTTTGGAAGCATGATATCTTGTAGGACTTGCCTTGTAGATTGCACGAGAGACGTTGGGGAATTCAGAATCCTTTCATGATTCAGCTTGCAGGCACGCTGCCGGCATCAGGTGTGTATCCCGCAGCCATTCTGGTGCAAAACAGCTGGAGGTGTAGACTCACTCCTCCCATCTGCTCTGAATCGCAGTTCAAGGCGGGTGCGGGATTGCACGCGAACTAAGCGAGATTGCCCCAGCAAGGCTTGGACGCTCTGCCATGATCCGGCCAACGATAGTGTACGCCGGTCTGCGTCGCTTTCGTTCTGTAGTCCAGCGGTTTTGATCTGTGTGGTGGCTAGCAGCATTTAACATGCTCGAACACCTGTGCCTGTGCAGGCATTTGTTTGCCGTGGTCAAGAAATTATCAGGCCAGACGTGTTGCATTGCTCTCGAAGCATCATCCGACCGCAACTGCCATTGCACGTGGTTGTGGAATTCATGAGACGACCTTGCACATCTCGTAATGCCCATGACTATCTCATCACTCACCATCGAGTTCTAGTTCTTTCGGTCCACGTAGTGAAGACTTGATCTTGTCTGCGCATCGCCTTTTGAAAACGTAGCATCCGACCCTTTTTGTCGACCCTTGAAGGACTTCCCTTAAGACAAACACCGTCGGAAAAGTAAGCAATCTTGGACCCGACATGCCCCACGTCTTTGATCAGTCATCAGTGGTTGCGCTGCGCCTGCCTTCACATGCAGACAGCACTTCGCATGTTGGAGCTTCTGCGAGCTTTGAGTTGTGAGTGGTGGTGTTCCGATGTAGGCAGTTCGCCTGTCTTTCCATTCTCGTCGAGTCGATTCCGTATTCCATCATGAAGGCGCGGCCATCTTTGCATCTTTGTTTCAACACGGCTCCACATCAGCTTTTGCAGGGAGTCGCGGGCATTTCGAGTGCCATTTCTGCAAGACTTGCCTTGCAGGTTACCGTGGACGTCCATTTCGCTACTGACAGCACGGCGACTTGACCGCACGTGGTGACATCTCGTGCTCAAAGTCGCGATTTCGAGTTTTCTCCACGGTGTCTGATCCTCAGAAAGCATGCCGAACTGTACAAGCCCGTACCTCAGGTCAAGGGGGCCAGCAGACTCCGGGCAGCAAGATGGACAGCCAGTACGCAAATCTCTGTGGACAGATGCGCGTGTGTTATATATATATATATATATACATATACACATGTCCATTTGCATGCTGTCAGAGGAAGTACGCAGCCTAATTAAATGCAAACCGGCATGAAAGGAGCATGGGAGCCACGGTCATGACGCCTCCGGCATCTGACGTTTTGGCCCAGAACCCCCCATGCAAGCTGTGGAAACACTGAGGTCTTAACCAGCAGGGCCTGAAAAGCTGTACCCTCACGTGCCCTTCACAGCTCAAATCAAAATCAAAATATGAAAGCACTGCACCAGTGAAGCTTGCCCTCTCTGCTAGCAGCGCAGTCGACGGGTGCTGCAAAGCAGCTTGTCCCGAAATACTTGCACGCATCTTTTGCAGAGATACAGCCGCGTCAGCGCAATTGAGGCGCGCTGGCTTCCTATCCAAAGCCCCCTCCGTGAGTGGCCTTGACATCGAAGAAACCCAAGCCGCTATTGTCAACGGGAGTCCTCGCAGCACCACTCCTGCGCAGCCCGACAGACCACACAGTCCACCTGGGTCCCACTTGCGAAGATGATCCCCGATGACAAGGAGCATGAAGATAGCGCAGAAAGCCCAGGCACCCCAAATGATCCGGTTAAGCCATCCTGGGAGTACGCGCCGATAATGGCAAATGCCACCATTTGCCATGTGTCTGCGGAGCCGCCGCGAACCTGAGTGGGGTGCAGCCTGCACCCTGCAGCCCGCCCGCAACAGACGAGCTCAGTCCATCCAGCAATGCAGCCACGTCATACACAGAAACCTCTGTGCCAGACACGGCAAGTTCCACTCCTAAGGCCTGCACACGATGTAGCTTGGTCTCAACGTGCCCTCTGTCATGCAGCTCAGTGAAAAGCTCGCTCCCTTGAGCAGCGGATTGTAAGGGACAAGGCATGGCCTCCCACGCTCCCACTAACTCATGCACTGGACAATCGAGAGCATTACCGCTGACGTTGACCTCGCCATGCAGCTCCGTAAACATTTGCCGCTCACGACCGCTCCAACACATAAAGCCGCTGTCCACAAGATGGTCGATCGCCCTTGCCGTCACGACGCCATCCACCATGTCCTGTGTCGGGTCAACCACAAGGTGGTCGATCGCCGTTGCCGTCACGACTCCGTCCACCATGTCCTCTGTCTGATC